TTATATTTAATATGAACAAACTGCACAAAACTGCATCAACATCACTCTTGTCACATTTGACCTTTTGCAAATCATGGAGGGAGCATTTACTTCTTTGACAACTAACATTCTGGTCTATTAGCTGATTGAACTTCCCTTGGATCTGGCAGGACTGTTTGCTGGTTTATAGATATACTTTTTTCCTCTAACAAATGAGAAGAAAACAATTAATACATGCATTTAGAAGTGAAGTTTATCTATCAGTAAAGTTACCTCAAAAGAGTGAGGAAAGCTTCTACTTAAAAGGAAACTTATATTAATAATTAGGCTGCATATACTGTTAGAAGAACAACACCACTTCTAGTTCTTATTTATTATGTAGGTCCAGAAAATTCTACCTAAGTTAAATGAGGAGTTAATTGAAAACAACTATAATCTCATCAGTTAAATATAGGATCCAAAAACCAGCTCTTGAATTGCATAAGTTTCTAAATGATGCAAGATATGAGGAGGACGAGAGTCGAACTCTTTTCGATGATAAATAGTTAACGCTTTTATAAAAAAGAAATTCATTTTCTTCATCTGAAATTTCAGTCTGCGGGACTGGCAGGACTTCTGCCATTCTTAATGCAGAGATGGAATCGAGTACTAATATGCTACCTCCCACGAAAAGCAACAGGTTGGCAAAGAAGATTGACTTTCTGTGGTCATCGGTCAACCTGTTAAATCATAAACATTCCATTAAAAATATCATTATTTAATAAATCACTAATTTTGTTCCTTCTGCTATCTAATCAACCATCACTTAGCACTTAAATAATTGCAAAACCGTGTTATAATTGTACAATGCCATTGACATGACCCTTTGTCGTTGGTGGTCTCCCTTGCTGCAAGTATACCCTTCTCTCTGCGCTGCAGATTCTCTCTTCCTCTTCCCACTGTTACCAGCATAACAAAAAACCTACAAGATATGCACATGCATGGAAGAAAATTGTCCATAACTTTATGAAAGAATTCAAAGATCAAAAACCCAAGACCATTAAACGAAGATTTTTTTAGAAAAGTAATTTAATTTTGGCAATGAAAATTTGCATGAATTATATGGTTTAGGATTCAAAAGAAACCAGCAACCACCAATCAAATCCTTGTTTCTTAAGTACCAAACAATGAACAATTTTCTCCATTGGAGATCACCAGACCTCCAGTTGGGAAACAACTCATTGAAGCACTAACAAACGGCCCCCACAGCTACTTATGTCCTCTGTGCATGGAGCAATATTTCTTTGTTCCCCTATCATTTCAAAATTTATATCATATCACGAATTGTATCTAACCAACACAGCATGTGGCCTGCCCATACCATCAATCCTCACTAGGCATGTTGATTTTTTTCTCACATATTGGATGCAATTTTGTTGCTTATGATATTGGGTTTCGTTTTGCTTGATTGATTTTGCATGATTAATGTCTTCTGTAGGCCACCCACATATGCATATATAGTTATTTTCTTTCAACAAGGCAACCACATCACTGATTTGAAATTTTGTAGTGTGAATGCCTATGCTTGGACATGGACTCTTGCTCTAATTAAGTGGTAGAGATCCACTCTGCCGGGTGTCGGTTCTTTCTTAAACGATGGATGTGTCAAGAAAATCTCATTTTTATTTTATTTGTCGACAATTACCCATGTCAATAAATAGAATCAAAACTGAAAGAAAATTTCTCAACGCGAAATAAAAGAATTGGCATTTCTGTCACGTGTATATGATACTAAAACAGTTCTAATTCGGTTGGATCATATAGAGTTAAAAATGGTGATGTCCTTCCAAATTATGTTTAAATTTATGCAAGGACTTTAAAATAGCCACTGTTTTCAACCACTTTGTACCAAATTAAGGGCCCTCTCTTCCAGCTGGTTAATCTACCAGCTCATCCACAGCCCTTTTTCAAGGTTCAAAATCTGCAGGTGTCTCTTAAAAAATAAAAAAAATAAAAACTTCCCTCTAGCTCAGTTTTAATGGTGACCGTTCAGTTTACATCACAAATATAGGAAACTACTTCAAAGTCCATCCATGGATGGATATTTTGTACCAACAGATTTCATTTCACAGCTTTTTTTGGTTTGTGATTTTTTTCATCAAGGGCAAGAGAGTTGGTTGAATTCTTTTGTACTATTATTCCAATAATTGTTACCTATCAGTAAAGGGTGTTTATATTTATCTTCTTTGGCCAACTAAAAGAACAGTATTTTAGATTCGAATCTAGGACAATTTCTTGAAATTATATTGGATTTTCATTATTAGACTGACTGCATAGGACAATAAAATAGTCGATTTCGACAACTCAAAAAAAGAAAAAGATAAATGGATTGGATTGTTTATTTACAGATGGAATATGAAGAGAATTGTCTTGAAATTCAAATTATGGGGGGGACAAATTTTTCTTGGCGTTCCAATTGAGTCACATCAGTACACACACAGATTACAAGTGAATTGTACCTCTAGTCGGTCATGTTCAACATCACCCCAAAAAAGGCAGGAAAACTTACTTGTAATGGGAATAGAATTGTTTTGCTATCCCCGATCAATAACACAATGACACATGGAAAAATTATCCCACATTTAATTGTGTTATTGGTGGGGATTGCAAAAAGTGTTATCCCTATCGCATGAAAGTCTCTCTCCAAAAAAGAAGCTACGAGTCTTTTAAGAAAAAGGAAAAAAACAAGTTGTCAAAATGTGTAGGTTTATTTGGTCATTCAAGGAGAACACACACAAGGGAAAAAAGAAAAAGAAAAAGAAAAACCCACCTACCAAATCCCATCGGCTTCCATCTGCAATAGATTAATAATATTCAGTTTGCCTAAAATTTGGGAAAATGGAAACAGTCTAAAGTAGAATTTCATGTGAGCTTGGTTGAATTGAATGGTTTCTTTCTGAGCTCAATCAAAATCTTTTTCGTTTTGTGCACCAAACTTCCTCTGGATCTGACAGCAAGTAATCTTAATTGTAGATTGACCCAAAATTCACTGCAATCTTAATTGTCAAGTAATCACCTTACTTAAGTTTCCAATTGCCAAAAAGGCATATAAATGATCACCACCACCACCAGGTACGTGGGGGTGGGTGGCTAGAAATTCCACCTGTCAAAATGAAAAAACAGGCTGATGAATATACTTCCAGTATTTCAGTTTTGTACATGAGTAAATACGTCCATAAAATCAAGCCATTGTTTCGACTGTAAATTTGCAAATATTTAGAGAGGGACAAGACAATCTTCAATCTCACCTAAAAAAGGCAAGTTGGAGAATCTAATGGCCATGCACGGTGCTTAATGGGCCATAATGTGTCACCGCCAATGCAACCAGGCAGTATTCATAAGAACAAATTATGTTAAGGGTTCAATCCAGCCGTTTTAAACATTTTCATCGATCGAATGACTATCGTTGACCTACTCATTACAACCCCATCATTATAATTTATAACATTACTCTAAGAAAGGGTCACATATATAGAGAGAGAAAAAGAAACTTATTAAGAGAGATCATTTTGATAAATAAAAAAACCAAAAGAAACCACATGTGGGCTTAATCCTTCCTTCGATTTGAACTGTCTACTTTTAAGTTTTTCTGCAAGATTGTTCTTAAAAAAACCCAACCAATAAGCTTATTTGAGGGATACCCTTGTAGGGCGTACTCCGCATTGTATTTCACTAATCCGAACCGTCTATTTTGTAGATATTCATTCAAAGATAATCTCTATAAAAAATCACTTAAATCCGATATCATTTGACCACTCAATTAACTTATTGAAATTTTAGTACTTTCTTGAAGCACCGTGTTAATTGATTTTGTAGAACACAATTAGATGTCTAAATGGTTTCTGATTTGTCTAATTTTTTTTTTTTAAGGATGATTTATGAATGAAGACCTAAAAAATAGGTTGTTTGGATTGTTGAAAAAAAATTCATAGGATACCCTAAAAAGTATATCCTTCAACAAAATGAGACTATATATATAGAAATTCTCCTACGTGGAGAGCTTGGAACTCATAACTTCCCCAGAAATGCACATTGATCATGAGCTGCGACAATCATGGATAGAAAAAAACAAAATTAGTGTAATTCAACAATGCTTTTGCGAGAGAGGCCGAGTAAAAGAGGAAAAGAGAAGAAAAAAATAAAATAAAATAAAAACCCTCCCGTGTGGCAAAAGGTAAAATGAAGGAGCTAAAAGCCAAAGATGGCTCTGTTGGTGGGTTGGTTAGAGGACAAAACTCAAAATGATTTGTACTGTCTCCATCTCTACAGCTCTTTTCCAACATTGCAAATAGAGTCAGCAAATATGACTCTGAATCTGAATCCCTTCTCTGCCCAGGTCCTCTGTTTATGGCAGTGAAGGACTAACTGACACTTGGTCATACACAAAAAATTAAAAAAATTAAAAATGTACAAAAAATCTCTCTGCCCTCAGGTTTTTGGCTCTCCAATTTGGCTCAGTGGTCCTCAACTTTTTCAAAGAGAGACACCACATTTGAAGCTCATCATCGGCAGCATGTGCCAAATCAGTTCAATGATAGCATGCATGCCAGGCCCTCCCAAAATGCTAATTTGGGCAGAAAACCAGAGAGCCTCACATGTTCACATCACTTTATTATGGAGATGAACTTGTGAACTGGCATCTGTCAAAATGGCTTTGAGGCCATCATCATCATCATCATCACCATCATCTTTCATCATCCATCATCCATTCCTTCCTAGGGTTTCTGATCAGCCAGATATTTTGTCCTCCTAAGTTGGGTCTCAATCAACAGGACTTGACCGTTCCACGTTTCAGAGCCTCCGTTCCACGTTTCAGAGCCTCAGGATCTGAGGTTTGTCCAAGGTCCATGGTAGATAGATATTACAAGCACCAAATGGTCAAGTATAATTCTGACACCCACAACATGCCCATCAGAGCCATACAACTAAATTTGGCTAGGGATTTGAATAGAGACTTGAAATTATGACAGGCACGTAATAAATTATCCAACTGGAAATTTGGTTATCGATAGAATTTCTGAAATCACCAAAAATTTAAGTCTACAATGTCACAAAATACAAGTTGGCTCCAAACAAATTATCTTCTTACCATGGAAATTGACAATGACCTTTTTTACCCACTTGATTTTCTTGTGGGCATGGTGATTAAATAGATAACCCGGTTGATATTTTTCAAGTTCTATCAATCATACAAGTGATGGGTGAAAGTTTGAAAGCCTAATAATGTTGACTAGGTAGAAGGTAAAAGTAAAACATATCTTTCAACTTGTTCCACATCTTCTATCCATTTGTAGCCAATCCAGGCACATGCTTTCAATCTCACAAGGCATCAAGAAGAACCTGTTCCTGCATTGGACCACTTGTTCAGATAAAAAGAAGAAGAAAAAAGTTTGTGTTAGTTTTTCATAAAAGCCGGTGTTTGTGGATTCAAACAACAATCATGGAGAAGGAAAAATCAAAAGCACACATGTAGGTGACCCACAAACTGAAAAGATCCAACTACATTTCCATATTGTACACAGAACAATCTCATGGTCTCAAAGGAAAAGACCGTGATTTCAATGATTAAAATCCATGGTAGGACCGCTCTCTTCTCTCAAGTAGTGGATGAGTTACAGAACCTAAATAAGTTCAATAAACTAGCATTCAAGACAAGGGCCATCCTCATGGCAACAAAACAAAAAGATAAGACAATGAATTGAATTTCAAAACACATTTTACATTTCATCAACAGGCACAACACTTGGAAGTAGGACCAACAAAACATGAAAAGAAGAATATATAATGGCCAGGTTAGGAAGGGAAATGAGGGGGGAAATGGGTCCTAACAGAGGATTTATGCCTTCTTCAAAAGTAAGATCCTTTCACTTCCCTTGGGGGTAACAGGTTATATTCCACTTCTTATCCCACCATTTCCATCTTGGATGCATGCTACTGCAATTATGCAATCACCAAACTATAACAATAATTGTCAGCACTACTCTTCCAAGTTTTTGATTGATTTCTTGTTCAAAGAAATAAATAGTAGTCAATCAATCAGTCAATCAACGAGACCTTTTCGAATAAATCTTATCACAAAAATAATTAAAGCACATACTTTGTAGACGATTGAGCAAACTAACTGTTATTTTCCTCTAAACAGAGTTTTTTGATTCTGAGACAAGCTAAATTCCAATGCAGTTGAATCACAGAAATACAGAGCTTAATACATTTGGAGAAATACGGTACTCAATAGATCCAGTGAAAGAATGGTGGGAACCAGTGAAGCATGGAAAATACCACAGAAGAAGCACAGAATTTGCCAAAATATATTTCATCAGCTGAACTCAATAAAATTTTCAGTACATCTGGATGCTACTGCTACTGCTACTGCCCCTTGCATAGAGTTGCGGAGGAAATCTCCTCTACATGGTGCAAGAATATCTTTACCTTCATCTACTTTCCACAATCAAAATGACGTTAATGGACGATCAATCCAGCCGTGCAGCACAGAAAATAAAATAATCATCGACGGCTAAACCAGTTCCATATCCAACGGGGGTCATCTCAAAGGAAAAGGAGTATCCCAAACCTTGAGAAATTATTTTCACCGCATTGCCTTCGAGCCAGAACTGCGGTCAAATAAAACAGATTTCTGACAGCAGCAGATTTCCACAGGAGATCATCGATATTCAGGCAGCTCCAGTCAGGGAAAGTCCTAAAATTTACAGTTAAAAGCCATCCATCCATTCAGCAGTCATTCAATTGTATAGAACCTAATTTTTAGTACAGCATGTAAAGTGCATAAGGGAACAAAATACTCATATTCAGCCAAAGAGAGAGAACTCATTGACACCAGGTACCAGTCAGGGTAAAGCATGCCCTCACTGCCATAAAGCAATTGGCAATACTGATAAAGTTCAAAGAAGGTATACCAGACGGTAGTGGGATTCAGAATTACAGTTTTTGGGCTCGTTTTACTGATCCAAGTGACAGTTTTTTAACATCGTCCAAGCAGTAATACATTTTGTAATTTCCATTTGCAATTTTTCAATCCAATCAATATAGACTGAACAGAAAATTACCGCACCCCCAGCCCAAACTTACATTCCTACAAGTTTTACACCTTTAAATGCTAACCAACCCATCCTAAAGTTCCCTTAAGCAACTGCTGTCAAGAATTTCCATAGTCACTTTTTCTACTACATCACCCAATGAACTCAGCTAATTTGCCCCTTATTCCCTCCATACATTTTCATCCAATATTTTCATTCATAATCATGACGTATTAGGTCTCAAGCCCCTACACCAAGGGCATAACATTCAAGTCCCAGAGGCATAAACAAACTACAAATATATTTCAATTGGATTAAACAAATTTAAACATGATATTTTGTCTTTGGGGTGGGGGCTGGGGAGAAAGTAAATACAGCCATTTCCAATGTGCATACTACATAATAAAAGAGGCATATTGCTCTACCCATCATGAGATTGTTAATTACATTTCCATTCTAGATAGCAGCACCTTAGCTTGTGAAATTTGCTTTTTATACAAAAAATGATCACCGTTAAATTGCGACAAGAGATTGAAAGAGAATGTGATATTTCTTTAGGCAGTGTGGGTTTCTTATTATCAAATGGAAGCTTCATTGAAAGTCTGTGTTGTCCTCACATCTTTAACTTGTTTAGTGGGGCTTTTGCTTGGGCAGAAATGGGGCTGGTTTCTCAGAATTAAAAGATGGAGAGTCCAAATGGGTTGTCAACTTTCTATATCACGATAGATGCAAAAATGACTTCTTTATCCACAAATCCCATGCTTTACAATTGTTTGAGTAATGAAGACACAACCCGCAAAATTATAGTATTGGTATGGGAGTTGCCATACAAGTAATGTGTAGGAGCCTTCAAAATTATGGGGAGGATGACAAGCAACGCATATGAAAGGCAACAAATCCATTGTTTCTCTCCTTTTTTCCCTACTTTTTTTTTTCTGGTTATAAAAAACAAGGAGGCTGATCTGCTGCTTTCTATTTTCAAGGAACATTACCAAGAACTCCAGATTGGAAAAATAAATAAGTCGGATACTATAGAAAGTAGAATTTGCATGCTCTTATATTAGTGAATACATTGAACTTGAACAACTTGATAATTTTTACCTACAGTTTTGATATGGTCTGCTTAGCCACACCTCATTAGGATATAGAACTAGAAAGGGACTGAACCTGAATCTCTTTTAAGTTTTATCTTTACCATTTTGATATGATCTGTTATTTTATAACAATGGTACCACATGCAGTCCAACTAGTGTTACTATAAGGTGAAAGTGAGCGAGTGAACCCTCCCTCCCTAAACTCATTCAAAAGCTTGGGTAGAAAAATTGGCCAACTTGATACAAGTTTCTATAAACAGGTCAAACTGAACTTGATACAAGGGTGCTATACATATAAATATTGTCGTTGCGCTGCCATGGAAGTGGCTCTAATACTACCACTGCCATCAATGCCAGCGTCGATACCAATGTCGCCAACAGAACTATGTCATTATCAACACTGACAACAGAACCATGCTGGAAATAGACATTGACATAGGCACCACCACCCTCATACCACAATACTTACAACCATCACAACCACTGTATCACAACGATCACCATTGTCATGCACCATCATTATTAAGCCCCGCCCACTAGTATTGCCATGACCACCACTACTGAACTAGCATTGCCAACCTAACCATGCTGGAAATAGACATTGACACAGGCACCACCAGCACCACCGACCCTTTACTACCTCCATCACTAACCCCACCACCACCATATCACCAAACATGTATTCAAAAACATCTCACAAACTGGACTTTTCATTACAATGCCTCACTAAAATTATTAACCAAAATTTTTGCTTAACTTCTAGTATTCTAGTTCTAAAATTTATGCATTTGTAATGTTACTTAGTAGTAACAATTCGAAATTCCATAATCATCAATACCACCATCATTGCTAATAAACCCACGTCACCAAACCTTTTATTCAGTAGAATGTACCCAATTTAAGTTTTATCAAGAAAGATCACAAAAATATTTTTGAACTATAACCAAATTTGTTAACTTTTAGCTCCAAAATTTTAGCACTATCAACTCAATCTTCAACGTTATACCATTTTCTGGATGCATCAAACTATGAAGAAAGCTCCAATCTTGCCAGTAAATCATGATCTCCAATTCCAAACTCATGCAAATAAATGTCTAATTGCACATCGAATATTGACTCTTATTAATAAATGAACAAAACTTGCGGGAACATTCAGCGTTCATACCTTAAAACCTGAGGAAGCGAAACGCAACGAGACCCTCAAACATGCCCAAACACGCCCCAGCGCAAACGTCGGTGACGAAATGCCTGCCCAGCAAAATCCTAGAGAAGGAGGTGGCGTAGGCCCAGGTCCAAGCAACCAAGACCAAAACACTAATGGCACTGACCGGGTCCGCGCCGATCCAGCGGTCAATGAACGGAGACGTTGGCCGGAGGTGCGCGAGGGCATCGGCGAGGGCTTCGGCCGAGAGGTGGAGAAGGGCGGCGACGAAGCAGACCCTGGAGGCGTGTCCGCTGGGGAAGGAGAAGTGGTCGACCGAAACGGCGACGTTCATGTTCTTGTTGTAGAGAGGGCGGGCGCGGCGGAAGAGGAGCTTGATTAGGCCGATGAGGGCGAGGTCGAGGAGGAGGCCGAGGATGAGCGGGGAGAGGAGAGGGCGGATAATTTGAATTGGGCTTAGGCTTGCGCCTAGGCCCGGGATTTGGATTGGGGATGGGGTTAGGGTTAGGGTTGGGGCGAAGAGGAGGGAGAGGGAGAGGGGAAAGAAGAAGCGGAAGTCGGCGGAAATTTCGAGGAGGAGGAGGATGAAGTGGGGAAGGAAAGGTTTGGCGAGGACATGGAGACGTTGGGAGAGCGTCGTGTCGAGAGTTACTAAGCGGCGGAGGAGTGGCGGCGGTGTCGGAGTGGCGGTGCTCTTGGATTTGGGTGGTGGTGGCGATGGCTCCATTGCTGTAGTGTCAGTCAGTGTGTGAGATGGTAGGCCGTTGGGTTTTGACAGTTGAGAACAAACCAATAGTTAGTTAAAGGGAAGGGAGACATTGGCGGCCCAGATATGGATTTAAAGAAGGTTCTTTTCTGAATTCATGGCCCCTAGAAAAACATGTGGGTGACTAAACATAAGTTTTAAAATAAACATTGGCCCAGCATTAGAGGAACATCGGCCGAGCTTGTTCCCCCAGTGGGGCTTTGAGGTGCTGGAACATTGGCCCAGGGTTAGTCCCGCCATTCCAAGCCAAGAGTTGAACCTTGTGGCTCGAGCGAAGGCTCCGGTCCACAGAGTTTCTAGCAACAACTACCTCCCGCTCTTGGCCTTGGAAGGATTACGGATCAGTGTCACTTGGATCCACCATGGCCTGCTAGACTATCCCAATTGAACCAAAATCTTTTACAAGTAGTCAATGAGGTCCAGCCCAATGGAAATGGTAGACTAGTAGTCTCAGTTTCAAACCTCAGCCCGTGATAGCTTAGTAGTGTGTGTTTGTGTGTGTGTGTGTGAGAGAGAGAAATCACACTCCCCCTTATAATTTAGACTATCGCTTATATTAAAAATAAAAAAAATAAAAAACCAACCAGTTATTGATATAATGATATTTTTTTCGCATAACATTAGCACTCTCCTAGATAAAGTTATAGTCAATCATGAATGAATGTTGTCTCATTAAAAAAAGGTGGATTGGATCAGTCAACCTTATTTCGGTATGACTAAATTTATCTTGTTTCGATTAGGTACTTAACTCATTAAAACCGATTGAATCGAACTGACATATTCGATTTGGTATGGTTTTGTTGTTGTTGTCAAAATCGGTGATAAACCGAACCAATTCTCCCATCAGTTTTTAAAATCAAAAATCAAACCAAAGAGCCTCTAGCATATGGCGGTTCAATGTCGGTCTCCCGAGATCACTTACATATGGCGTTGGCTCAGTGGCCTATTTGACCTAGCCGGTTTCATTTTTCCATGGCCAGGCCCATGGTCACAACATGGACCAAAATCTTGACCAGGCCACTGATGATCCATCTGGAGTCCATAGGCCGATATTACTGCTGCCAGCTCGTGCACTCAGGGGATTTTGAACTTTAGAAAGACATCGGAAAAAATGCGAGACACTAGGAAAACTGGTAATGAAATAATAACTTCCATAGTAGGAGAAGATGCAATTATACTTTTTTGTCATCGTGAAGAAGGAACCAATTCAAATAATTTATCAATTGGGATAAAACAATACAAAAAATGAATCAATAAGAGTAATAGTTTTAAAATCTATTGCATGATCATTTGACCCTAGTTATGGAGAAGTGGAGAAGATGATAGGCCAAAAGTGACCTTAAAATATGGAGAAATTGCGGCACATAGAATTCCAAAAACGGATTTAACCATGTGCAGTGCCTCTTAATATATATATACATATAAGCCCATGCTAATGCTATAGTCCCTATGGTTATGGTTATGGTTATGGATGTCTGCAAATTGGCCATCTTCTTTTTCCCGTTGGACTTTGACTTGAACCCTATTATTCTATTTTAGACTTCAACTAAAAACAATGTTATAGCTGGATGGCATAAGTCTTAGAGAAGACGAGCGCTAGCTCATCCTGTTATGTCCCATATCCCAAATATATGTTAGGTGCAATAGCTCATTAACAATGTATGAGGTTCTTGGGAGTAGAAATACAAGACTCACCAACTTAACCAATCAACCATGCTACTTGAAAACGAGTACCCAAGAGAAAAATCCTGAGTCATATTCAACAAGAGTTGAATCTTTTACAAGTGATAGGTCATGAGTGAGTACGTAAGGCCAAGTCCATGTCCATACAAGATTGGTAAGCTGAGGCCATTGTCAAGGCTCACGGGCAAGTCTTTGTCTAGATCTCAACCATCAGAAAAATCCAACACATTGGCAATTGAAGGCAGATCAAAGGTGAATATCAAGGAAGTTAAATCTCCAACAGCAGGCCATAGAGACAGGACCACCAAATTCTGGGTCCAAACCAAACCCTCTCTCTCTCTCTCTCTGCCATCCTTAATTACCAACAATGCTTATCTGATCATATTTCATACATTTCTCAAAGCTCTTGTTGGCTCTAGGGCAGCCCAACTCCAAGCCAAAATGTTGCATTTGTTTGATTCAATAATGATCCAAGAATCACTCTCCACCCGACATTGAGTAGTTGTGATCCTGCATCATCATCATCATCCTGGCCTTACCCACTGTCCAAATTTTTATCATTTTGAATTCTAGATTAGTTAAATAAAACTTCTGATTGGTTTAGGCGAAGCAATTATAACCTGCATCATGGTAAAATATATAGCCTAATACATAATGATTGAAGAGATCAAAAGATTGTTAGTGGGGTGAGATGGGTCAAATGCTAAGAAGTCTCTAGTGTGCATTTGGATATAAAAGGTTTTGACATGTATAGTTCTTGAGAAATAGGATGCCAATGGGACAAGTCCCATTCCCAAGCTGCATTGATGGGAGATTTAAATGATGTTCGAGATCAAAGTGTATAAGAATTTGTGCATGTATTAAATAAAGCAAGGAGAGATTCAGGATATATAGATGGATTTTTTTATCTCCAAAACCACAACATCGCATTGATGTTTCCATGACCCAAAGTTTGGTCAAAAGATATGCCATTAAAACCCTCAATTAGGGTAAGAGAAAGGCACACCTCCCTTTGAAAAGCCAAGGTCTTCCCTTTTCCTTTTATTATTTTCTTTGGCTCTCATCATTGCTTCTTTCTCCATAGAACTCTCTTTGCTTGCTCTTGTTGATAACTCTCCATAAATTGTGTCACCTACCTCAATACCTTGCTTAGCTTTGTAGTAAGAAGAAGCTTTTATGTTTTTTTCTCTTCCTTATTAAACAAAAAGACTCAACCATATAAAACCCTAAAATTTGTGTTTTTTTTAAGAAAAAAGTATTACAAAGAAAATTTGCAGCGGATCTGAAGACCATGCAAATCAAAGTTGATATAGATCCAAATTCCTATTGAGGAGTTGGGTTTAATCCTTAGATTTGGTGACTTTTGTATCACATAGAATTACATTCCTTTTTAAATATTGTTTGATGTAATCTTTTTATTATTTTATTTTTAAAATCATTTTTTATTCCAATGTTGCCCCTTATGACTTGAATCGGGTAATAATCATTTATGTCATATTGCCTATTGCATAGGTATATATATGTTGTTTCATATTTTCGACAATGTGTAATAGTATTTTATATACCTTTTTTTTATAGGTAACATTCAATTTTATTTTGTTTATTTTTGTATCTGACTTATAGGTAGTCTTCTAATTTATGTTCCTAACTTATAGGTAACATGATTTATCACTAAGTATTTTTGTTGCTAATAATAACACTATTTATCACTAAGTATTTATGTTAGGTACACATTTTAATGTGGGTGCTTGTCTAATCGACTGATATAATAATATGTGGATCTTTATTTTATCCATATATTAGGAAAATCATCAAGGAAAAAATTTAAAATTTAAATTCTAGAATTCAATTACAAGGAAATAATGCATTAAATTTAGATTTTCAATGTATTTTCCTTATTTACCTCAAAAGGTAAAATTGACACAACAAAAAAAAAAGTAATAAATGTCAAAGAACCTACATCTAAAATAAAAAACGCGAGGACTAAACCCAATGGCAGCTAATCGTTTTGGACCTAGATCTAAGAAGCCCTAACTAATATCCACGCGAAGAAGATTCGCGACGGATCTGAAACCAAATAGGATGTGAAGACCGTATCAGTATAATGTCCCTTATTGGCTAAGGAATCTGCTACCATATTAACTTCCTGATAAATATACTGAAAAGATAAAACACTAAAATCTAAACCTAATTTGAAAGATAGCAAACCAAAATAGAAAAAAAAAAATGGAAATTTTGGAGGTCCAAATCCAAACCAAACACAGCACGCTTTGGATATAACGCAGTTCCCGGGGATGGCTTCAAAAACAGGCGTGAGAGCAAAGGCTGTCAAAACTCCACAACCATATGGTTTTGCTTTTTGCACTCCTAAACCATGCACTTCTTTTAACTAACACCATACAGAATCTCATAATCACCCTATCATAAAAAGCACATAAGAAGATGAGTTTAATTTGAATTTTGCCCATTTTGCCCAAATGGGTCGTCCATAATTCACGATTTCTCAAGGTTTTTGGACCATTTGGTGTTTGGGATGCCTTAATTTAATCATGTTTTACTTGATTAAGCTTTGATTATCTCAGTAAAATTGTCTCCTTGTGTAGCTACAAAAGGCCATTATCCCAATGAGAACAAAACTTTGTGCAAACCCCCAACTTAATTAGTGCGTAATTTGCCAACGGGTTAGCTATAGCTATAGTACAAAAAAAGATAATTAAAAAAAAAACTTGTGGAGAAGTTGTCGTTTTACTGGTTTAAATTTCAGAGCTTTTTCAGGTGCACTCTCTGCCAGTTTCCATTCTCTTTCTAGTTTCTATTCTTCTATTCTATTCCCACCAATATTTATCTATCCCACTTCAAAGTCCTATAAAAGATTCCGCCTCATTCTGTCCCCCTTACTTTTTTACAATATGGAATTTGGAAAATATATTAAAATTATTCAATTATACAATAGTGTCTTTGCAACTTGCATCTTCAAATCAATGATCAATTATAATTTTAAAAAAATTTGTACCCTATATACTATGCCAACTACGACTATCCTTAATTAACATTTTTATACAAGCGATAATCTATCTTAAACTAATCTAAATTATAAATAGGGAAATTCAAATTCAGGTCGAAGAGTGAGGAGCACATCTGCTAACCAACTTTGTTATGCCCATATCTGCATATCTGGCATAAATTAATCCTTCAATCAAGCGCTCCAGTTATAATCCTTGAAACAATACAAGATTTATTTTATGTTTTTTCCTGATGAGCCCTTTGTCTGCAAGTGTAAAGAGGGGGGAGAAAAAAATCAAGGGAAGGAAAAACTAGGGTTCTGAAAACCCCACCAAGAAATATGAAATGGTTATTATTTCTTTGATTTCAAGGTGCAAG